AAAATACTTCTAGACATAAATTATAAACAATTAAGCATTTAGAATATTCTACAGACTCTTAACAATAGTATAAATTTATAAAAGTTTACAAAAAAGAGGTATCAGGAGGTATTCGAGTAGTGTAGGTGGTCCTAAATCAAGCGCGCTGATTAGTTGGTAACCAACCAATCAAGTGTCTACTAAGAGCTGATTGGTTTGTAATCAACCAATGAGCACTCTTGATTTAGGACCTCCTACTCTACTCGAATACCTCCTGATACCTCTTGTATCATCATGTGCTCCTGCTACTAATCTTGCATTTTTGTGACGGGAGGAAAACGATTGAATCCACCGGGATCATATGATTTCCATTGAAAATTGAAAAAACGTCAAAATTCTGACTGAAGGGTGGCATTTAAATGCTTTTCGCAATATCTATAGATATATTTAATGTATTGATAGATGCATTTATTAATCATTTTCAAAGTTATATTTATAATTTATTAATATTATTATAAAAAATATTGATTAATACTTTATAAATCTATATTATAGCTTATTAATTCTTATCATTATTTTTTAAAATAAAACGTATAAAATAGACTTTTGGTTAAACAAATGCATAAGAATAAACAAAATTCTGTCTGATATAATATTAATCTTGATTTATTTCGTTTATTATATATTTTATAAACATGAGCAATTTTCTGAGAGAACAATTTCTTAATTATAAACAATAGTTTTCTTCGCATAACTTATTTCTAATTGATACATAGTTATGTTTTCCAATTTCCAAAAAGATGTACAGTAATAAATTTAGTAGATGTTAAAAACTACAGATTAGAATGAGTTTYCAATTTGATTTCTTAATTTATAATAACAAGGATGCATTCTTTCTTCAATTCTTTTGATAGAATTAAACTGCATCTGATTTTTTCCAAGTGTAAGTATAATGAGGGAAGTGTCTTCAAAAATCTTTCATGGTTGCAGTATTGTTGCATTCTTCTTATCGTTGTTGATAGTAATGCATAGTCTCTTTCAGTCAAAGAATTGAAAATCTCTGTTGGAAAAATTATTATATTA